CGGCCAGATTTGGCTTGAGGGCCGTAAGTTTGCAAATCTCTATGTTAGAAGATGACTATAACTATTACTAAAAACAGTTACTCTAAGTCATATTCTAAAGAAATATATCCTGAGCTGGGAATGGTGGCATACACCTGTAATCCCAGCACTCTGGGAAAACCAGGGGCAGGAGGGTTACAAATTCAAGCCCTGCCTGGGCAACTTATTGTCTCTGCCTGCCTCTCTCTCTCTCTCTCTCCTCTCTCCCTCTTTCTCTCGTACTGGGAATAAAACTCAGGACCTTGCACTTGCCAGCCCAGTGCACTGCCACTGAACTACACCTCTGGCCCTAAGACCCTGTCTCAACAGAGAAGTTTTTTTAAAAGCTGGAGATATAGCTTAGTGCAAAGGCCCTGGATTCCCAGTACTGCAACAAAACACCACACACAGGTGTTTGGATAGGCAGGTAGAACAAACTCAGGAAAGCGTTCATAATCGTTGAATTTAGATGCTATTAGTTTTGAATACTAGTCGGTGGCATTTCAGAGGGATTTTGAAGAATATCAACAGATAAAGGCCCTAGGACAGAGTTAACATGTGGCTCTCCTTTGGTTTCCCCTCACCAACATGGCTCCCCGTTTCTGAGCTCTGCAGGCACCTGCTCACATACTGCTTTCTGGCTCTTGCTTGTTGTGAGGACTGAAATTGCAGCTGTGTTCCTTGGAGGGGCAGGGACAGCACTGCAGAGTCCTTCTGCCCCTGGCTCAGGAAGCTGGCCCTTGCTGTCCGGCAGTTCCTGTCACAGTCATTGTTGTTAACTTACTTAGGCCATGTGCAGATGATTTGGAAGAGCTCAATTTATCGAACTCAGCTTTTATGAACTTGTCAGCTCCGCGGGATTGAATCACACTCGACCTGCGACCAGCGGGGAGAAGGAGCCCCAGTGAAAAGTCCCTGAATGCTTCGTGAATGTTGCACTTTTCAGCTAATAAGAAGAATTAGAAAGCCCAGAGGGAAGAGGGAAAGAGTCTACCTCTGCTCTCCACCCTTCCTGCCTCCTGCTAACCTAACAAAGTGCGAAACATCTCTCCTGCAGCCCTTCTTTTCAGATTGGGCGTGTCCCAGACTGACAGGTTTGCTTTTTGGCTTTTACCTGGTGCAAATCACAGCAGGGATTAAAAATAAAGCAAACAAATCATTTTCCTATCATTTTATTTTAGTTTACCACTTTTTCATTCAAGGGAGCATATGCTTTTAATACTCTTGACAAGAAGAACCCTGAATGCTTTCTTTGTGATTTTACTGTGGTTTGGGAGCGACACTTTGGTATCTATTAAGATTGGACTTTGTGATTTTTTTTGTTTTTGTTTTTTTCGGTATTGGGTGATGAAAACCAAGGACGCTGATCACTTAGCTACACCTCCCTTCCCTTTTATTAAGGCAAGGTCTCCAAAAATTGCCCAAACAGGACTCAAACCTGTGATCCTCCTGCTTCAACCTCCCTAAGTGCTGGGATTATAGGTATACACCACCACACCTAGCAACATTAACCTGCTTAATCTTCCCAGATGGTCTCTGGGTTTATAATAACCTAGAGAGTCAGTCTTTAAAATTTTACTGTAACTGGGATTTCTGTGTTTCAAAGTATCTATAAAAATATGATGTTTTACATATTATTTTCAATAATTTGAGAAGTCTACTCTGTACTTTTATCCTTCGTAAAAAAGACTAAGACATCAATGTTCTTTGCTTTTAAAACAGAATAATATCAACACAGTTTTGTAACACTGCATATCGTACCGCTCAGAAAATATCACAAATTACTCAATGGAGAAATAGTAAATGACTTTGTGATAAAATCAAAGTATGGTTATGCATAAGAAGAATGATAAAAAAAAGTTCTTGAAGGTAAAAAGATTTATGAATTACAGCTTTTGATATATAAAGCATCAAGGTACTATTGGCCTTTAAAATCACATTATTTGGGGTTGTATCTCAGTAGTAGAGTATTTGCCTAGTATGTGTCAGATACTGGGTTCCATCCCCAGCATTGCAAAAATAAAATGAATTAATTAAATTATAGTATCCCTTGTGATCAGATATTAAGGTAATCATCTAACAAGATTAAAGGAACAAGACAGTACAAGTAACTGTTGAGAAGGAGAGGGACCAGGAAGAGAAGAGGTAGGGAAAGCACAATGTGGTAGCCCGGAGACTTGTGTTGTAAGCAACAGAAACAAGCTCACTACACAGAAAAGCATTTTGTTTCGCAGTTCAGCAAAGAAGCCAGGACAGCAAAACCCAGATGTGCACACACTGGTCATGGAGAAACCACTGATTAGACACTAGTTGGGAGACACTCTGCAAACCACAGGACAGCACCTCGGGCTGATCTTGGCTGCTGCACAGCTGAGTGCTTGATGTGGAACTCCACATGTTTGGCTGCTTCTGGATAGAGGAGGCAGATGGAAAGATCAGTAAATCGTGTAGAAATTAATCTATTACCTTCCTCACCTCATAATAAAGTGAGTTATTTAATAACATAATATGGAATGGAAGGTCTGATAGATATGATGGGGTTATTTATTTTCTTAGTGAGATGGGGTCTCTATGTTGCCCAGGTTGGCCTCAGGCTCCTGGACTTGAGCAATCCTTCTGCCTCAGTATCCTCAATAGCTGGGATTTCGGGCACAGTGCCACCACACCAGGCTAGGGTGAGTGTGACAGCCTGATGGCATGTGCACTAACCATGATGCTGCCAGAGAATGATAGGTAGGAAAAACAAATGTAATCCAGTGTCCACCACAGGGAAGATTGTCTGCTGCTCCCAAAATGTCCATTCCATCTTCCACAAAGCAGCTACTCGATCCTCAAAGGGTGATACCACTTAGAGCCTTAGAGCTGCTGGCAACTGGGCACTCAGCCAGGCAAGCCTCGGTAAGCAGAGAAGCGTGCCTGGTGCTGAGCCCAGGTACAGCTTCTGTCCTTGTCTTTGTCTTGTCCTGAGCCCACTGACCAGCTACGGAGGTGGCCCCAAGAGAGACTTATTGTTATTTGCCAAACATCTGATTGCTGTTTTCGTCTGATCATGAAATGGTTCCTCTAAAGAAAAAAAGATAGCATGGCTCAGCAGACAGGTTATCCCTGAGGAAATTCGAGATAGTACAGGCAATTAAAAAATAATTGATGGGGGCCGGGGATTTAGCTCAGTGGTTTCGCTGCCTGCCTCAAAAGCGCAAGGTCCCAAGTTCAATCCCCTGTACCAAAAAAAAGAAAAAAGAAAAAAAAATTGATAGGTAAAAGGGGAAATGTAACAGGGCTCAGTAAGCTCTGATTTAGCATGAAAGTGTTGGGATTTAGAGAATTTCAAGTTACATATTTACATTTAACTACTATGTGAGTTATTGTACTTCTTTTGGGGAGGAATTGAGTTTAAAATTTTTTTCCTAGCTAAAAAAATTAAATGTGACTTTTTAATTTATTTTAAGGCATCCTCAGGCTGGGGATGTTGCTTAGTTGGTAGAGCGTTTGCCTAGCATGTGTGAAGCCTTGGGTTCAATCCTTGGTGCTGAAAAAAATATCCTTGAATAAAAAAAAAGAAAAACATCCTCAGAAGGGGAACTTGCCATGGACCAAATCCATATGTTGAAACCTCCAGTGTGACTGCATCTGGGAATAAGGGCTTCAGGAAATAAGGTTAGGTGAGGTCATGAGGGGCGTCCCTAAACCAATAGGACCATGGTCCCCTAAGAGGAGATTAGGACACTTGGGGAGGGAGGAGAGCCATCTACCAGCTGAGGAGAGAAGTCTGCTGGCACCTTGATCTTGGATTTCTAATCTCTGAGGACATAAATGCTGTTTAAACTTCGCAGCCTGTGGGGCTTGTTACACAGCCTCACAGCCTAATGCAGACGGCAACACAACCTGCTGGACGATGTAGGAATTCTTGAGAGCTTACTGTTAGGAATAAGTGAATAATAAGTGGAGGAAAAGGGAAAATGCTATCTTATAGAAGAATGCCAGCCAGTAAATATAGAAGGAATAACAGAGAAATCATCATTTGATAACAATTAATTATATCAATAGCTGACCCAAGAAACACTCTATACCAAAAGTAGCAGATAATCGCTAGGACATTTACTTAGCTTATTCACCCTATAAATTATAAAGAGTGAAAGAACTACGTGGGGGAAACCTGGCCACACTGCTTTAACAGATCAGAGTTAACAATGCCAATAACCAGACAAACGGGCATCATGTGCCTCGATACAGATACACACAGGTTATGGCCCAAACTACCTCCCCTGAAAACAGTCACATGGGGGACATCAGACAAACCCAATCCGGGAATGTTCTACAAAATAAATGGGAGGACAACTAAAGGAATTGTCTGGGAGGGAACATCTGACATACGTTGAACACGGAATGGAGATTACTTTGGTATCAGCATAGTGGCCTGTAACCTCAGCGCTCTGGTAGGCTGAGGCAGGAGGATTGCACGTTTGAGCCTAGCCTGAGTAATTTAGTGATTTAGAAGATCCTGTTTCCAAATAAAAACAGATTAAAAAGATAGATAGATTGATAGATATAGATAGATTGATAGATAGAGATAGATAGATAGATAGATAGATAGATAGATAGATAGGGGCTGGGGAATGTAGCTCAGTGGAAGCCCTGAACTCCATCCCCCGAACGGGGGGGGGGGTTATCAGTGGTAAACTTCCTCGTGGTGAATGCACCTGTTATGTAAGCACCGAGACTGTCACCGCACATCGACTCTACCAATCAATAGCCACTGCCCGCAGCCGCCCCTCCCCTGCCCGGGTTTTTAGTTTTGATCCAAAGGGTCCCCCTCAGAGCTCGCCCTCCCCGTGCCATCTCCTGTCCCTCCTGGGGCGCCGCTGCGCCTTTCCCGTCCCCTACCTTCTCCCACCTGGGGCCTCGGGTCCACCTGTCCCCGCCCCCCGGTGCCCCCCGCCCCGCGCCCCGCCGTGCGCCTGCGCCCTGAGTCCGCGGGAGCCTGGCGGCAGAAGCTGGGAAACTTCTGCGGCTTCGTGCGGTACGCAGGAACCGAGGCTCCGGGCCGGCGCCCGCTCGGGGCTGGGACAGGTGGCTTCGCGCCCACGATGGGCTGCTCCAGCAGCGCCCTCGGCAAGGCCGGAGACAACAGCAGGTTCCGCAGCGGTGAGCAGGGGCCCGGGTTCCCCCAGCAGAGGTCGGGGATTCGAGGGTGCTGGGTCCTGCAAGGTCCAAAAGGTGCGCCCCAGCCCAGCGCCCCCAGCAGGGGGCGAGCGACGCCCCGCTGGGACCCGGCTACCTCCGGATCCTGGGGCCCGGGCCACAAACCTGATCGGTTATCTGCGGCTTCCCTACCCGAGGGAGCTCAGAAGCGTCAGTCCGGATCCCCCGAGCCCCAGAGCGGTCCGCAAGGGATGGGAGAGCGCAGAGAGGGCTCACCCAGCCCGGGCTCCTCCTGCACTTTCTGGGGTCTGCAGATCCACTCTCCCACCCTTGGCGTAAGCATTTCTTGAGAAACGTGTGTGCGTGCGTGTGTGTGTGTGTGTGTGTGTGTGTGTGTGTGTGTGTTGAAAAGTGGTCAGCATGGGTGAAATATCAGGATCTCGAGTTCAAGCCCGGCCCAGGCAACTTAGTGACTCAGTAAGAGCCTGCCTGAAAAAAAAGTGCGGAGAGAGTTAGGGTGTATCTCAGAGCCAAGGCCCTGTACTGCGGGAGAAAGGCAACAACTACGTTTCGAGCCTCTGCTGTTCAGTAGCCCGGTTTGGCTGGATGCTGGGGACGCAAATGACCTCTTAAGTGAGGCTGAGGGTGGAAGAACCCAATGAACACGCTGAGCAAGTGATTCAGATAGTTGGACGGTGATAAATACTGAGAAGTATACAAGCAGATTCAGTCCCACAGCGTGACCGGCTTTTGCAGCCAACTCTGGGGATTCTGAATGGGTTCCGTCCTGGACAAAGCTCTGAATGTCAGGCAGTTCCCTCCAACTAGTGTCTGGCCTTCTCCACGACTCACTGTAGGGGCTGGGGGATTTTACATTGCAGTCAGCCCTTTCCTCAGTCTCCTCCTGATCCCCCATTACTGCAGAACAGAAATCCCTGCCTTCTGAGCGTGCGGCAGAGAGCTCAGCATTGTCATCCACACTCAGGCAAGCTCAGGCGCTGGGGCATGGCCAGAAACACTCACTGCTGATATTTTATGATGTGTACAATGTATTTTTCTAAGTTCAGTAGGTCACAGAAAGCAATAAGAAGTTAGGAAGTAGGCAAAAAATGAAAACCGTGTATGAAACTGACCTCCTTGTTGCCCACAATGGTGTGAAGACAGGAAAGACTCATTCCCAAAGCACCGACCCCACTAACCTTTCTCCTGAACAGGCTGGAGCCCCGCCCGCTGTGAGGCCAGAGCAATGAGCAGTTGCTTTTTTCATCTTTTATCTTGTGAAATCAGATGGATTTTTCATCCTGTTCCATGATAAATCCTTATTGATATCTATGTGGAAAACTGAAGGAAAGAAAAAAAGGGATGCTTCAGGGAGCTACATCATAATACCCTGGCTTCTCTATTCCCCCTCTATGAGGGGCAGTAGTATCTTGGTTTAAAAAACAGCACTAGGTGGAGGTGATGCTGGGTTCCACCCCACACCACCCTCCAGAAAAGGACAAATCATTATAGGTTTTTAAAACTGAAAAAAATATGCATTTCAGGGAATCTGAATCTTGAGGAGGGGCAAAAGTTTTGGGTGGAAGAGGTCTTTAATCCTCTATTATTTTATCACCAACATTAATATCCATTCAACACGTTATACTTTCTTTTTTTTTTTTTGGTATCGGGGATCGAACTCCTGACCGTGTGCTTTCGAAGCAGGTGATGAAACCACTGAGCTAAATCCCTGGCCCCTATGCTTTCATTTTTATTCTTGTTTTCATTGCTCCTCTAAGTTTCCGTGGATCTTGTTCTGAAAAACTTGACAACCAGTTTGAGCGTGCAGAAATTAATTACCATCCTGCGTAAGCCGCTCACCGTGCACACTGAATCAATCAGCAGGCGTATTGCTTCCTGTGAGGCAATCTCCCCTGTAACTGGATACTGTTGTGTGGTCAGCAGCCTTTCAACTCCGTGATCTTGGAGACCTGATGAATAATTCATTCCTGTTTCTGAGGTTAAAACTTTCACGTCCTAGATATAACTCCCACTCTGAGCAGATGTGCCTGTAGATAAAAACAGTTGAGGTGCATCGAATGTGCTGTACATGTGTTCACTCGCCGAACCCCAGCCCTTCAGAGGCCCTCAGGAATTACTTGCTGAAGGAATAACTTCATTTTATCCTTATAACAGCACCATGGCTAAGTGTTAGGGTTACCCCAACCTTACCGACAAGGAGGAAATAATGTACCACAAGTCACAGGGCTCCTAAGTGTCAGAGCTGGGTTTCCAACCCAGGCAGTTAAACCAGTTCGTGCTAACGAGACTTAAATCAAATCTGCCTTTGCCTAAAATCACTCTGGATCCTTATTAGGATCACTCATTAGGCAAACACCATAAAGAGTGTTTGTTCTATTTCCTAAATTAGATACATACTAGTTAGGTGTTATTCAAATACTGCATAATATATAAACATATTAATATAATATTACATAAGATAATATTAATAAGCTATATTATATAAATTTTGTATAATTTATATACCATACTAATCTATTAATATACTTTTAACACATTATATAAAGTAATATATAATAGTAATATGTTATATGTATTATTAATATATGGTATTAATTTATTAACATACTTATATGTATTTATTGTATTTCTTTTGTTGTTTCTGTAGTAGGTGACCACATATCTAATGGGGATAGAGAATTATTTGAGACATATAATATAAATGTAATATAAAAGTAATACATTTATTATAATTCCTAAATGATGGTAAAATATGACATTTATGTTTGCTTCGAATTTAAACTAGGACTATTAGGGCTGGGGATTTAGCTCTGTGGTTCCGCATCCTACCTCGCAAGTGGAAGGACCCGAGTTCAATCCTCCATACCAAAAATAAATAAATAGCTAAATAATAAACTAGGAATATTTGCAGGACATTTGACTTTAGAGATATTTCTGACTTCTTTTTTTTTTTTTTTTTTTTTTTGATACCGGGGATCGAACTCAGGTCATTGCGCTTGGGAGACAGGAGGTGGAACCAAGAGATTCTTTAAAATTTACAGTAGCAACCTTAAAACTCCATGAGTTGAAACTAAAATACATGAACTATATTATAGACTGGATTGTGTCAATAGATCTCCTGTACTGACTTTTTCACTAGAAATTTTCAAGCTTAAGAACTGTTATACATACACAGGTATGGTGAAGTATGCCTGTAATCCCAGCACTTAGAAGGCTGAGGCAGGAGGATCTCCAGTTCAATGCCAGCCTGGGCCACCTAATGAGTTCAAGGCTAGTTTCAATCATAATGAGATCTTGTCTCAAAAAAAACCAACACCAAAAATAAAAATAAACAAACAAAAATTGTTTCATATGCTATAATATTGACTTACAAGGAAAATGAATTCTAAAATAATGAGCTTCAGCCGGGTGTGGTGGCGCACGCCTGTGAACCCAGCGCTTGGGAGCCTGGGTCTTTCAGCTCTAAAATCCTGCACACTAAAATACCAAGGTACTTTTCCGGGCTCAAATTTAAATCAGTCTGGAGCTGCTGGTTCTGTAGCCATTAGGCCTCGTGGGAATAATTTGTTCTACTGATAACGTGTGAACCTTGCTCTAACCCACCGGCTCCGAATCTCCACCCGCCCCAGTTTCTGCCCCTCTCCCAGACTCTGAACGACCGGGAGGTCTGTGCACCGGGCGGGGCGAAGCCAGGTGCAGACTGGACTCGGGGTGTAAATAATTACCCAGGGCTAACGCTGCGTGCTATGGGGTAGTCACACTGAGTTTTACTATATGCCCTGAAAGACGCGAGCAAAGGGGCTTTCCTTTCCCAAAGGATGATTCGACTGAGCTTGGAATTTCTTAATGTTTGTGGAAGCAAATTCTAAATATTATGGCCATGACTAGTCTGATAGAGTTTGAACCAAAGGATGTGTTGATCTCACAGACTTGGAAGACCTTCCCCTAGCGCCCTCTCCCCCAGGCTACCGCCTGCTGCTAGCGTAAGTAATTACCGTTCCTCCCTTCCCTAACACAAATGCCGCCCCTTTGCGGCAGAACTGACCTTCCTGAGATTCTACAGTTTAAGCCCTAATATGGAGAAAGTAAACAGACGGTAATTACCGCCAAGTTCATTGCCGGGTTAATGTGTACATTTCCATTGACAGCTGTAACAATTTGTTTGTTCTCACCTGCCTGCCTTTCAGATAGATGCTTGGAGTCCACGCTGCCTAGGCGATGGGCGGAGGCTTGAATTTCACACTGTCGCATGAATTGTTCTTTGTACCAAGGGCATAACTCCAGGCTTCAACCAGTATTTTCAGCTATGACATTTCAGTCCAAACTAGACCAACAATTCTCTCTGTAATTGAAGAACAAACATCATTCACATGAAAATGACTTTGTACAGGCTTTTCATACAGACAGAAATATAAATGGAACTTTTTTTCAAATGCTAGAAGTCCCTGGCCTTGAGTTCTCGGTAAGTCTCTGTGGTAGTTAATTAGCTGATTATTGCTTACAGTTAATTAAACGAATATAAGAACTGCAGACTTGGTTCAAATGTGAAAATATTTGAAAACATTAGGCAGTTTCTCATCCACACCATGTGCTTCGTTCCAATCATTGGGTAAACATTTACTAGTTTAGAGCTTTTCATATATTCTTCCAAAGTTTCTACATGCATTGCACATATTATTTTCCTCCTTTTTTTTTGGTACCAGGAATTGAACTCCGGTCGTGGCTCTTGCGAAGCAGGCGGCGAAACTACTGAGCTAAATCCCCAGCCCCTTTCCCTCCTTTTTATTTTTAAAATACAATGTGTTCTATCCACTATTCATCATCTTGATTTTTATGTAACAAATTAGAGATTTTTGCATATTGATATATAGAGGCTCCTTTCTCCTTTTTTTGTACCTGCAAAATAATCTATTGTGTGATTTATTTAACCAGTTTCTCATTGAGGGATGTGATTTGTTTCCAGCCTTTTCCTGTTGCAAACAAGTTTTCAGCAAATTCCTTTTAGCATACGTCATTTTGAATGTGGACAAGTATATCGAAGGGCAGTTTCCCAGAAGTGGCGTTGCTAGGTCAAAGGGTGGGCACATTTATATATATATTTTTTTGTACCGGGGATCGAACTCAGGTCCTTGCACTTGTAAGGCAGACCTGGTACACTGAGCTAAATCCCAGGCCCTCATTTATAATTTTGATAGAAAACTGCCTCAATGCCTTCCATAAGAGGTGTGCCGGTTCACACTTTCATCAACAAGCAAATAAATCTTTTTCTAACAATTGGAAACTTTCAGATGTTTATGCAGCTATATGAAAACATGAGCACAGAGCAGAAGCCAGGAGACAAAGCAGGGAGCACCTTCCTGGTTGTGGGTTCCTCAGCTCATGATGTCATTTAATGCCCAGAGTAGCCTATAAAGCAAATATGAGCACCCCAAACAGCTGGAAAACTAAAGCTCAGTCAGAAGTTAACTTGCCCCAGATCTCAGTGCTGGTAAGTGATGGCCCCAAAGCCCCTGCCTTCCTCACAACTTATAGTTCCGAACTCTGAGGTCTGGTCCTGGTTCTGCTAGGTTTTCCTCTCAGGAAAACTTCAGTCAATTATCGGTGGGCAGGTGTGTGGATGAATGAATGGATTGACAGAGACAGGGAATCTGGGAGAGAAACACGGAGGACTCAAGAATAACAGAAAGCAGAAACTGGAAGGTGGCATGGGCAGAGCTGGGCCTGAGACGGGGTGTGAAGAGGGCCTCCTAGGCACACAGGAACTGTAACCACAGCGCAACAAAGCTGCATTGTGTAGCAAGCACTAAGTCCTGCTTCTGCAGGGCTGCCACGCCTCTCAAATGCTGTGTAATTTCATTCCAGTTCTGTGTAAATGTTTTACATCCTCAAGTTTGAAAAGATACCACAGCCATTATCGGAGGGCTACTCACAGCCTTACCAAAGCTGATAAAAAGCATCTAACTGGCTATAGTAGGAATCCTGGTGTGTGTAAGCGTAGGTAGTACTGAGTCACAATTTTTCTTTAAAACAAAATACCTGAATATAGCTTTCCAAGTAGTTTGTCTTGAAAGCGTCCTGATGACCTCAGAAGCTTCCAACCCATCTCAGGCTGTTGGTCCTGCCCTCATTCCTTGAGCCCTCCTTGCGAATTGCCTTCAGGGTCCTGAGTAACTTCTCTCTTTTTCTGGCACCGGGGGTCCAACTCAGGACCTTGTGCTCTGAGTAACTTCTTCCTGTAGAGCCAAGGTGTCCAAGCTTTGCCCTTGAAGAATGAAGACTGAAAAAAACCCTACCTTATTTTGAAGAGCTGAAACCCCCCCCCCCCGGGGAATTCAGTGTTGGGAAGGTGGATAGAGTAAGTCAGGCAGTGCGGGTGCACAGTGCCCAGGGCTTCCTGGGCCAGATGTGTCAGGGCTTGGCAGCCTGTGATAGCAAGCTGTAGTGAGCCAGGCTTTCTCCAGCCTCTCGGATCTCCAGGCCGGCAAGAACTTGACAGCCTGGGATCTATGGGAGCAGCTTCCTCCATGTGTCCCACTGTGCCACACAAATATATTCTATGTGTGCTGGGACAGGAAAGCGAGTAGGAGCACTGGGGTGTGCACTGTGACAGTTCTATCATATTTTTTTTTGGTACTAGGGATCGAACTCAGGACCCTGCGCCTGCAAGGCAGTCAGCGGAACCACTGAGCCAAAACCCCAGCCCTATCATTTTTTTTTTTTTTTTTTGGTACCGGGGATCGAACTCAGGTCCTTCTGCTTGCAAGGCAGGCGGCGGAACCACTGAGCTAAATCCCTGGCCCAGCCCTATCATTTTTAATAATATTTCACTTACTGAGACACAGTGTCTACTTTCAGCCACCCCAGCAGGGACCTCTGTTGCAAAATCCTCTGCAAACCATTCTTTTTCCTTATTTCTTTCCCTCACCATCACTGATAATGATAGTGGAAGGTTTTTTTCCCCCTTTTCCTAAGACTCATAAAACCATATAGTTTCTTTTGGTTAATGTCCTTTCCTTTTGCTTGCTCTGGTGTGGTGTCTATAGACTAGATGGTTATGAGACACCCTGGTTACCTGTGAACCTCACACTTGTGTGTGTGTATGTGAATCCAGCACACTGCAGTACAGTGTAGAGTGCTCATTAAGAATGTAAGTCCAGCGCCTGCCTTGCAAGCACAAGGTCCCGAATTTGATTCCCGGTACCAAAAAAAAAAAAAGAATGTGAGTCTGGAGTTAGGCCATCTAGTCAAGTCTTGGTTCATTTATTATTTGTGTGACTTTGAGCCAATCATTCTACCTATCCGGGTCTCAGCGACCTCACCTGTCAAATAGAACTGACCTATTGCATCGGGTTGTTCTGAGAAATAAGTAAGTTGATACATACTATGCACCTAGAATAGAGTATCAATAATTGCCTAGAACAGGGGTGGGGAAACTGGCCTGCTGGCTAAATCCAGCCTGCTGCCTATTTTTGTTAATAAAGTTTTATTGGGACATAGACTTGCCCATTCATTTACATATTGCTGTGGCTGCCTTCTCACTAGGACAAGGTGAAAAATCTCCCATCCTAGGGTGGGTCTCACTTGGACTAACTCAGCCCCTTGATTCATTGCTACATCAGTATCCTTAGATTGTCTCTCATGCCAACCCCAGCACACTATCATGAGATGGAGACCACAGCAGACTTTTGCAGGTGGGCAGCTCCCATGCCCCTGCACCCACACCCCCCCTACAGTTCATGTGCCATCGTTCACTCTGGTCCAGCCCAACTAGCGCCATATGCCTCTGCCTGGTGTTTGTCTGGGGATCTTATTAAAATACAACTTTTGGTTCTCTGGCTCTGGGGTGGGGCCTGAAATTCTGCATTAAGAAAAATCCCAGGTAATCCTGATGATGGAATTTGGGGGGTACAAAGGTATTTGTCTCTCCTAGATAATGATGCCATAATGCCCTCCTCTTTATAATGAAGGTAACAATAGATACACCTTGTGGAGTCCCTGGAAAGACTGAATGAGATAATCCACACAAAGCTCTAGCGTGGTGCTTCAGTAGCTGTTCGGCATTGTTCTAGAGATGCATGGTGGGCAAAGCCCATTTCAGTTGGTAAAGTGTCCGATAAGCAATGCTAGAGACATGATTTTCTTGCTGCTTTCCTTGTCTAATGAGTTGCCTTTGGTTTTATAGACTACCTTGCTACCCAAATGTTAGTCTTTTGTGCTAATATTGGCCATCAATCAATGAAACAAGATTTTTTTCCAGTGACAGATGCTGTTGTTCATTTAAAAAAAGATTTTGGGCTGGGGATTTAGCTCAGTGCTGCTGCTGCCTGCCTCACAAGTTCAAGGTCCTGAGTTCGATCCCCAGCACCAAAAAACAAAAAATAAAAATATCCCCCAAAAAGATGTTTTGTGTTATAACATGTTTGAGACAAGAGTTTACCTGATGGGAGTCTAAAAGAAATGAAAAGAAATAAAATTGGAAAAGTGCATCTGAAGGAAGCAACTCAGTTGTCATGACCTGGTGCAGGCTCTGCAGCTCTTACTTATGAGCCTCTGGTATGCAGTGGCCTGTCTCCCCCTGAGCTCATCCTGTGCTCCAGAAGTACCTTCCCATTCAGGTGGTTCCAGCAAAAAAGAAGAGTGTGCCTCATTTTTATTGATGATTTTCTACTGTGATTACATAACGTTGCTTAAATTCCCCTCTCCCCCAAAAGAGTAGCATGTTAGTGTCTTCTGGCTGTTAGAATTGGGGATTAGCAATATCTATTATACATTTTGGTCCTTATTTATACTTTCAGTTTCTCACACCAGAGACAGAATTTGGTATTTACACGTGTGTGTCCTATTTATTTCACTTAGGAAGAAAAGGTCCAAAGGGGAAGAGGGAACTAGAAAATGGGTGGGGGAAAGGAAAGAAGGGAAAGAAAACAATGAGAAAAGAAGGAGAAAACGGAAACAAAGCTTGTAAGTAGGGAGGAGTGGAGGGGTGGACAGGAGGGAAGAGGAATGGGAAAAAACAGGAACCAAGATATATCATGTACAGGTACAAATTCTCAATGATGAATACAATTGTAATGTATGCCTAAAATGTACCAATAAACTTAATGAATAATAATTTTAAAAATTGGGGTTAGCACTTGCGTGATGCTACAGAGGATGGCACTGTTACACACTTTGATGTAGGAAAGGGCAAAACCATGCTAGAATAGCATCACTTGCAGCTCCCTGGTTGTTGGGGTGGATGGGAAAATGGTAGGCTGGAACTTGAAAGAAATGAAGGTAAGAAAATGAGGAGGAGGATGAAGAGGAGTGGACCCCCTTCTGGGGCCAGACTTAGGCTGCACTGCTAAATCGCAAAAGCTGTAAGACACTAGAAATAAGAGCAGGGCACATAGGGTCCGCCTTCCTCTCTGATTCTGTGGGAAACCCGGCAGACCGCTGCAGGGAACCCCTTGGGTACTTTGATATGGCACAGTTGTAGGAAGCATTGACCTCAAGTTTTTCTCCTTGGTGGGTGGAAATTTTCATTTCTGATTAGGCAATGAACTGAGTTGAAAAGCATGTACGTAATGTGGATTGTAGGTATGTTAGCTGTCAGCCTAATCCCTTTATAATGTTGCCTAGCATTTTGTTTCTTTGTGTATCTATCACAGCGGTGCTTATGACAAAAGTTCTGTTGGTTCAGCTGTCACAACAAATTTGTGCATGGATCAGTTTACAGCAAAATCAAGAGAGAGAGTGAACGCAAAAGGGTTAGGCCTAGAGAAGTGTATAATTTGATGAAATGTAGGGTTCAGAAAATAGACTCAACTTTAAACAACTTCAGATGTGGAAACAATGCATCTGTCCATAGTATTTATTACTTAATA